GCTAGGAGTTTGCCCATAGTCTTTGCCTCACTTGTGCAACATAGTTGTATCTACCAATAAGTTAATCACAGTATGGTAAATAGTTTTAAGAATATTCTCTGAAGATTATCCTAGTTTTACATGCAGAGAGTGAGCGAGTGAGAGGGAGTGAGTTCTCCATAGTGAAGGTTAGAGAACTGGGTGGTGTTACACAAACTTGCATGAAAGCCAGGAATCTGTTCTGGCCTGCACGACATGAAGAACTTCATAAATGTGGGATGGTTAAAATGTTCTGGATGCTATATTGCACAAAGCAAATGAATAAACAAGAGCATTAGAAAATATTTTAGGATTAGAAGATTAAGAGTAATTGGCAAAGGCAGACTGGATGGCTCAGGAGATTGGTAAGGGATCTGGAGCCTTTCACCTCCTGATTAGCCAAAGATGTAACCCAGGTAATCAAAAAAAGAAGACTTATTAATGTTTGATGTTCCAATGCAGATGGTTGGTCTAGTTTCTAATCAGTAGTTGCAGAAGAAGCCAGGGGTCAAAGACAGCTTTACCCTGTGCATGTAAGCCTTGTGGTTGAATCTCTTATGTGGATATAGGGCACTAGTTTCTGCTGGTGGAATTTTCTTCATGAAACATATGATTACAGGAGCTGCCAGACTTTGTCTTCCTTGGTAATTTTTTTCATTTTCTTTAAGCAGTATTTGTAAACTGCTTCAGCGTAATAAAATTGAGGATTGAACTTTGAAAAGGAGGTGGGAGAATAGGGTAAGGCAGCATTTGAATCAAGGTCAGATTAAATATCAAAGACACTTTTTAAAAAAAAATGAAAGTACCTATCTTTGCCCAAGTCCATCTATTCCATGAAATCATTGTTTTCAGTCTGACTAATTAAGGTAATACAGACATATCTGTTGGAAACATATAGTGTAATTACACAGCTTTGTTGAACTACTTGCCAACATGCTTTAGAAAGTACATCTTGAAACATTGTCAATTATTGGGTTATCTTTTCTCCTCTTTCTGGCTATTTTTGGAAATGTGCGTGGTGTATGAGGAGATAGCTTAGTTGTATTAACACATGAACTTCAATCCTTGTGGTAAGCTCTTTCCCACTCTTCTAGATTTTGATAATTTTCCCCATTAATGAATGAATTTAAGAGTTTTGAGTTTCAGGGAGTCTTACTGTGAAATATATTTCTGTTTAATCCCAGACTGAAACATAGCTTTGAAGAGCAATTTTTAAAGAATATCACTGCAACCATCTCAAGCGCAATAATGGAGAACCCATTCTAATAGCCATCTTCCTCTATACAGCATAATAATACCAACTATATTGCCATAATTGAGGTGCTGCAGGAGTAAGTGATAATCCCAAGGTCTCACAAGCAAGCGACAGTGAAGGAAAGAACTAAATCAGGTTTCCACAGTCCAAACAGATGCCTTGTATGTTAGGTTCCCTTTAAAAAGAGAATTATGAAGATTAATTTTCTTCTGTGCTTATTGAGGGAACTGTTGATCTATAGGTGCTCTTACATTTCCAGTGCAAGCTGTACTCCACTGCTGTAATAGAATTGCAGAATTTTAGCATTGCTTTTGTTTAGTTTCTTCTTCTTTGTGTTGGGGAGGAGTGTCTACTTAAGAAAATATAACTCTTTCAGGGAAAAGCAGGGGACTGGGTTTTGCTGGGATCAGAATGAAATAGGGGAATAAATACGAGAAGCTATTACTTCCACACAGAATTGTGGATATTGAGTTCTAGGGTGTATATATATATTTTTTTTTCCCCCCTTTCTCCTTCTCTTTCTCCTTTTTTTTTCCTCTTTCTCAGGCAGGTCAGAGAGAGCAGGAGGATAAGGACAATTACATACCCAGTGAAGGAGTTTAGTGCCTGTACATAGAGATACGATATGTAACTGAAAAAGCTGAAAGTCAAGCCAAGACTTGAGCAGAGTGCATGAATCCAAACAGTTCTGCAAATGTGTAGGCTTCCAAATTCAGCTGGCTGAAAGCTGAAACAGCTTCAGTTTATACTGCCACTTCAAGTGCTTCTCCCAACCTCTTTGCATGGAAGCCAGTTTCTTCAGTTCTCTTTACCTGATGACCCCCAAGGAGGCTTTCAGTAGGTTTTGTTATGTGTGAAAAATGGCTTTTGAGTGTAATAACATTAAGATGACCCTGTGTTACCTTTCACGTACATGCTCTCCTAATAGGACACATTATTTTGAATTGTGGCAGGGTAGTCAGGGAAATGCCAACCCAATAATTCGTAATCAATTACATTCTAGTGCTGTAAAGATTGTGTGTCCCCTGCCATTGCATGAGATTAACACAAATACTGTGAGAATACTTAGTTCTATTATATCCTCTTGTGATGCAGAGAAGGATGTATTAGCATGGGACACAAATTTGCTATGTAGGCCACTAAGCAGGATTAGCAAAAGTTACAGAAATGATGTGATTTACAGTCCATTGTATAAAATGCTAGTACTAATAATATGTTTTTCCAGTGCTCAGAAATAAAAGTAATTAGCAATGAACAGCAGCTGGGATTATTGTCACTCACGGTTTCTAACTGGTGTCTACAGAGTGTCTGCAAAATAGGTTTGTTATCTGTTTGCTCTGTGAATGGACGGCTGAGAGTAATGGATGTGTTTACTCATTAGAGCCACTTAAGGTAAAGCATTTTGGCCAGTTTTCTGTGCATGCACAGAACAAACATAAGTATCTAATTAAATGAGCAATACCAGATCACCTTGCAACTTATGTAATCGTGCAGTGAGCTGCTGTTATTTTCTGTTTACCATAATTCCATCAGTGCTTTCTTTAAGCTGTCTTTCAACACCGTTGAGACTTTCAGTATTGAAATAATGCAGTGGATGGAGACCTGAAGTGCCAGATACTGTGGAGCAGGCCTAAATCCCAATGTTCTCAGTGGATCAGGCTCAGCATGGCTTTGTCTCCAGTTCTTGTTTGCCATAAAATGAATAAAATATCTTCTGCAGTACAGAAGATCTGTTAAAACATCCCTCTTCCAAAGAACCTCTTCAAAACCAGATTCATAACTTGATACCAGAACTTGGAGCTCCAGTTTAAGTGAAAATGTTATTACAGTTAAGTCCTAGCTGTTTGGCTGCCCAACTCACCATTGCCTAATGAGATATGTTTCCTAAACAAACAGAAAGCAATTTCCAGTTTATTGAAGAAAAAGGTTTAACCAGTGCATGGGAATTGTGCTTTCTTTAAAAAAAAAAAAAAAAAAAATTGGGGGGTAAAAAACGGGGCCCCTTTGTTTCTGGGTTAATTTCCAGTTTATTGAAGAAAAAGGTTTAACCAGTGCATGGGAATTGTGCTTTCTTTAAAAAAAAAAAAAAAAAAGAATTGGAGGCTGAAGAGCAGCGGCTCATTGTATCATGGTTTAGCAACTCATTGTCTCACTATACATACTCAATTCTGATGGGATACAAAGGATAGCATCTCATTCTCTGAGCTAAATGGCTAAAAGGCATTTATATTATATGCATTTAAAAATGTTTACATTTCATGCTCTCTGTATGTCTGAGTCTTTCCATATGGTGTGATATGAATGAACAGTGATCACATGCTTTCCTTGTGGCACAGCTGTTGACGAGGAGAAGAAAAATAATTACACCGTTTGCCTAATGCATTACAACTGAATCCTGCAGAAATGTAGTAATACACTTACTGGTTGGGAGAATGGAAATCAAACTGTGTGTGGAAATTTTATACTCTCTGTAAGGCATCTCTTGGGTTTAAAAATTGAGAACATGGCACAAGGAAGCTTCCACCCATGTCCTTGATGTAGTGGTGTAGGCTGGATGATGGCAAAGGAGTAGATGTCTGTGGGTTTCGGGTGTAAAGAGGAATTATCTTCTGGATGCTGTACACTGTTTACTATTCAGGAAAAGTAGTCAAGCAATGGTGACATTTTTGTCAGGAGATTCTTTCTTTGGCCTTCAAACCAGATGTACAGGAGCAGCAAATCTCCCCCTGATGTCACGGGCAGGTGTGGTGCACTCCTGGGAAGGGCAGGCCTGCCTGCTATGAGAACACAGGGTTTAATAACATAAGCCCTGGAAGCCTTGTTTCCTTCCTGCAGCCCATTTTGCTCGGAGATCATGAGAACAGTTAAGTAGACCTACCTTTTTTTTTTTTTAATTAGTGATGTCATGGACTTGGGTGTGGTAGGTTTCTTTGCCACATGCCATTTTTCTACTGTAGTTTTTCCATCCTTGTTTTACTAAATTGAGCTCTGTGCATGAGAGGAACAGAAGATTTCCTTGGAGAATGTCTGCACTGAGTAATCTTTGAGAAAACCGCCTTTCGTTTCAGACATCAGCCACTATGGCTGTGTTAAAAGGCGTCCTGGCGGATACTGGATACTCCTGTGGGAATGGTCTTTGTAAGAATTGGTCTTACTCCGACCCAGCAAACTGAATTCATTATTTCAAATTTAATTTTTGTTTGCTCATATTTAGAAAGCAATTCTCTTGGACTGTTAAGCATGGATATGATTAAAACATGTAAGTGTATTGAAAGAAAAAGACTGAGGACCCGTTCTTTTGTTTCACACCTGCTATAGACTCCCAGCAAAGTCTCCTGTCAAAGGGTTCAGGGATATGGGAACTGATTATTGGATCTTCTGTCAGTGACATGATTTACTGATTTAGTGAAGGAAGGAATAGTCCTATCAGAGGATGTTGAGTTAAGATCATGTTGTGTACATGTGCCTCAGTTTCCCCAAATAAATACATTTATTATTCATCTGGAATATATATTCAGTCATGTGAAACATTTCAAAATCTTCAGCAGCAAATGCTACATACGTGAGGGTATATGCATGATCTCTTACTACATTGGTACAAATGAAAATGGTGGTGGTGATGATTAATGAAAGAGGCTTACGAATTAATTGCTTTCTTTTTTTTCCCTTCCTTGCTATTTGAATAAATCTACAGTGGAGCTAAAATGACCTTATTCTTTATTCACAGGTTACTTTAGGTGGAACCTTTATTGGAATTGGGCGGAAAACTCCAGATTGCCAAGGCAACACCAAGTACTTCCGCTGCAAGTTCTGCAATTTCACCTACATGGGCAACTCCTCCACTGAACTAGAGCAACACTTCTTACAGACTCACCCAAACAAAATGAAAGCAGCCCTTCCCTCCTCTGATTCTGGTAAAACTTCAGAGAAAAACTCCAATAAATCCAGTCCTACTCTTCGACCATGTGATTCTGGAGACTTGGGGAAGTGGCAAGACAGAATCACTGTAAAAGCAGGAGATGATACACCAGTTGGATATTCGGTGCCCATCAAGCCAATAGATTCCTCTAGACAAAATGGTACCGATACAACCAGTTACTACTGGTGTAAATTTTGCAGTTTCAGCTGTGAATCGTCCAGCTCATTGAAACTCTTAGAACATTACAGCAAACAGCATGGGGGAAGCCAGGCAGGAAGCCTTCACCCAGATCTGAATGATAAGCTTTCTAGGGGATCTGTCATTAACCAGAATGATCTAGCCAAAAATGCAGATGGGGAGTTAGTGACAAAGACAGAAAAGGGTGCGAGTGTGGCAAAAAAGAAAGACTTGCCTAGCAAAGGAGCAGAGGACAGCATGGTGACAAGCTACAACTGTCAGTTCTGTGACTTTAGGTACTCAAAGAGCCATGGCCCAGATGTAATAGTGGTGGGCCCACTTCTCCGTCACTATCAGCAGCTACACAACATTCATAAATGTACCATTAAGCACTGTCAGTTCTGTCCCCGAGGCCTCTGCAGCCCAGAAAAGCACCTTGGAGAAATTACTTATCCATTTGCTTGCAGAAAAAGTAATTGTTCCCACTGTGCTCTCTTGCTTTTGCACCTGTCTCCAGGGGTGACAGGAAGCTCTAGAGTCAAACACCAGTGCCATCAGTGCTCATTCTCCACTCCCGACGTGGACGTTCTCCTGCTCCACTATGAGAATGCACACGAAGCCCAAGCGTCTGATGTCAAACCAGAAACAAATGCCCTGCCAGGGGCAGAGGGGCCGCTGACGCTCAAGGAGAACAAAGAACACTCATGTACCAAATGTGACTTTACCACCCAGGTGGAAGAAGAGATTTCCCGACACTACAGGTACAGTGAAGTTTCAAATGATTAATGATAGGAACCCAAACAAACAGCCCTCCCTTAGTTCCTTAATTAAACGTCACCGTTCCCCAAACATTTGAGGAAACTGGAAATCAAAATATGACTGCGTATAGATATAAATCTTTACAGCCAGAGTCCAATCCAACATCTACTTTGTTTTGGAAAACCACCAGCTAAGCTGGTGGATTTAATTATACATTTAAACCTGTGCAAAGAAGAGGGAGATTTGGATTTGTGTGCAGATGCTGAAGTTCCAGCATATTTGAGGTTTGGTCAACTATTTTCCACCCAGAATCTTTTAGGTACTATTTTAGTTTAGGCTTTTTACCAGAAAGCTGGCATCTTCATTCAGTAGGGGAACACAAATGGCTTTACTTTCCAAGATAGACTATGAATCCTTTCATGCTCTGTAACAGTGCTTCAATGTACTACCTTTTTGTAGTATTTTCCATTCCCAAGTCCAGCAACGCAATAATTACTTTAAGAGCATTCCACTGCTGTTTTGGTGTTGGTTTCACACTGGGAGCAGACACTCTTTTGTCTGTTGATGTCATCCCCCAAGATCCTTTTGCAGATGCTTATTTTCATGTTGCTGGTTTACAGTGTCGTTCTATTTATTTTAAATGCTAATGTTCCTATTTGGAGGTGGACGCAGCCAGTCTCCTGACTCAGTCTGACACAATGTCATAGTGGCAGCCAACTCCCTGCTAAAGTTCTTGGGTCAGTTCCTGGGCTGTTGTAAACTGGCAGTCCAGTTTACATCAGAGGAGGAGCTGGCTCTCAGGCTTTGTAAAGAGCAACAGTTATGTGCCGCTGCAAAAGCGACGTTAAATATTAGAAAATCATGCTGAATATGTTAATAGTTAAGGCTAATGCGTCAACAACAACGGAAAACTCAGTATCTATCTCATCTAAAACATCTTTGCATGGAAGCCAGCTAGAATGAAGACAAAAGAAGATGCATTTTCAAAGCTAAAGCTTTGTTAAAAGCTCAAGAAACTGTGCCACGTTTAATAGATTCCAAGACATCCAAAATTAACAAAGGCAGACTGGGGCATGATACTTTAATAGAGATTAAAGCTGGGGGCATCCAAATGTTGCCCAACAGAGGGCTGCATTGGCAATGTATCAGGAGTCTATTTAAAAAAAAAAAAAAGAAAAAAAAAAAAAGGAGAAGATTGCTCATCTTTAATTTGGAGCTAGGGCCCACGGAGGATTCAGGTCCCAGCATGCAGTGCCCCATTTTTGATCCAAGTGGGCCTGAGGGATGTTGTGCGGATTAATTAGTTAATGTTTGTAAACTGCTTTGAAGATGAAAAGTGGTATCTTAAGTTCCAAGCATTATTATAGCAGCTTTGAGCCATGCTGTAGAACTCCATAGGCAGCACTTTGTCGGCCGCTGGGGCATGGCATGATCTTTTTTTAGTGGTTAAATAACTGGAAGATTGAAATGGCTCCTTGACTGAAAAAAAACACTTTTATTTGCAGCTGGTAATTTAAGTTTTAACAAGCACGCCTAGTTAAAATCCTTTTTCCCAAGGAAAGGAGAAGCCATGACTTTCAAAATCAAGTGCTAATTCTGAGATGGGGTAGCAGCAGCTTCTCCTTCAGAGGGCTCAGCACCCTGCGGCTCTGGCAGTTGTCACAGGGAACTGAGCTTTGGAAAATCAAGAGATACACTTAAGTGTTCGAATCTCAACTTGTTTGTCTAAAATTAGGCTATTCTGTTTAAGACACTCAAACAATGTATTTTGTTAAGCCTTCAATCTATGACATTATTGAGTACTCTGAGGATGTTGTGTAATTAAAGCGAAGTGCAACATCCCCATAACCGCCAACTTCTTTCCATTTGAGTTTTATTTCTTTTCTATGTGCTGCTGCTCTTTTCTCCCACTGTGCATCTTCTTTGAAATCACAGAAGTTAGTTCAGTTTGTGGTAGGTACTCTGTAATGGCAAATACCAGCAGGTTTTATTGCTTTTCTATGCGTAACCTAGTTTTCAGTCTATCAAACTAAAAAAAATGGAAAGAGAGACTTTTGGGGGCATTATGGCTTCTATTTTTTTATTATTATTACCAGGTCTTTTTTCTTTTAATAGAAGTTTTGCATGTATTGGGTATGTATTTTCTTTCCCTTTTTGTATTTTATGAACTAAAGATACAGAATAGTTCAGATTTAAAAAAAGTAGAACATCTTTAAAATAGTAGTGTTAGGGAGTTATGTGACACACAGAAACATGCTGATGTGGAGTCAGCTCACATCCTAGCTGGCCTTCTTTGTGGCTTCATCAGAGTTTGTCTCAGTAAAGCTGTTAGGCCACACATTGTGTATCTCTGATGTATTTAAAATGCTGTACATGCACATATATCTAAAACCTCTCCATTTATATAATAAGGAGCTGAATGGATTTGAACAGTAAACATAATACTAAGCATTAATGTGGTAGCAGAAAGTCTTCTGTCGTTCACATATTTAAGTTTACCCTTGATAATTTGTGAGTATCAGAGCTGGCTTTAGACGCTACTTACATATTTTGGTTCATGTATTTTTTGTCTGCATTTTTGATTATTTTTGCTTTTGAGTCATATGCCTGAACAGCATGCTTAATTTATTTTCTTTTTTATTTTGTTTCCTTTTGGCTCTGCATCTACAATTTCATTATGTCTGCTAGCTAAAAAATTTTCTGTGTCCCAATATTATTCCTTTGCAGCCATGTATTTGCAACAGTATTAGAATTTGCAAAAGTGGTTCTTCCCAAGTTTTCTGTCTACAGAAATGTATACTTACACTTAATGCACATTCAGTATTTCTTGACATGATTTTTTGAGAGCTGTTCAGTTAAATTTGAAGTTAATGAATCACATTGCACTTGAGTTTACTTGTATTTAAACCTCACTAAAATGTGCTTACTCAAATAAATCCCCAGAAGGTTTATTGGCCTCCATTTTCTACTAATTCTGCTACTGCTCATTTTCCATTATACCTCTGAGGAATCAGGTACTCTTCATGTTCATTGCAAAGCTTAGTTTTTCCTCAATGCTGTCTGGTATTCTGATGAGCTAAAAGATGCCAACACTTGTAATTCAGATAAAAATCATACTAAGTATTTGGGGAAATTTTGCGTGTTGGATCACTTAGTCTAGAGATTATTTTCCTGCTTGCTCCGAAGTAATTAATTTTTAAATTTTAATTTTTTTCTTAAAAATGAAAGAGGCTTCTTGCAGAAATGTTTTTTAATTTTGCTAAAAGATGTGGGAAAACAAAGGATTTTCTCATTTTTGCAAAAATTAGAATTCTTCATGTAAATCCTTATTTGTCAAAAAAGACTTTGACAGAAAGCATTTGATCAGTGCTAGTAGTAATTAAAAATGCTATGCTGAAAAATGCTCTAAACTTCTTTTAAAAAAAAGATAGGGTAGTGATTCATTAAACAACTGCAAAATATAAAAAGAAAATGGAAAGACTCAAATGAAATGTAAAGCTTTGGTAATGGCGTAGAATCATTTTTCTAATGAATTATTTTGAAAATGTGGCTGACAGCAGTTATGTAGGGTTCTCTTTTGAAATTAATTTTGAGTTAATTTCAAATTAAATAATTCCTTACCTCTTAAAAATAAATGGGGTAGAGGGGTAAAAGGCAAAGGGGTACTCGGGGCTCGCGCCTCGCCAGCGCCAGGGCTGCACGTCGGGGACAGGGGTGTCGGGGCTGCCCCCTCACACTGTCAGGCAGCAGAAGCTGGAGCAGGGTCTTAGATGTGCAGATTATGGAAATGTGGAGCCTTTGGGACACTCCCCGGAGAAGCCAACTGAGGGCAAAAGTGTAAATTGAGGCCCACCAGCTCCCAGATTTTCGGCAGAGCAGGAGCCTTCACTCATTGAACAATAGCAGCAGCTGTGAGGACCTTTTCCATCCTCCTGACACCTTAATTCACTGCTCTGAACTTGTTTGCTCTTGCCAATGGCTTTTGCTCTCCTTTCATCTCAGCCTTGCTCTCCGCTCTGCCCATTCTCCTCCCCTTCTGACCCTCCGCTGAATTTTCTTGCTTGCTTTGCTCGCTGTCTTTCCTTCTGAGTATTTTCCATTCCCCACAAGCCTGAGTGCAGCACCCATCCCAAAAGTAAACTTTCTTATAAGCCTGTTTCTTCATGAGAAATACTAGTAATTATTATATTCATAATGAAATTGAAAACATGCAAAAAAATGGAAGTAATACAACAGCCGTACCTTCATCCAGAATATTTTTTATGCCCTAGAGCCTAGGAATGTGTTCAGGTAATTTAAAAAAAAAAAAAAATTACTTGTTTTGTAGAGGATGGTGTTTTGTAATCCTTCAGACTAGTTAGAAGTATGTCAACAAGACTTAATTAACAACTGGCTAGTGTCAGGAGTATCACAGCCTATTAGAAAGCTCAAGTAAAGAACATTAAATCCATCCGAAAACCCCCATCTAATCTCTCCAAATTCAAGATTTTCCAAGGGAAAATCCTTCTATTTTATAGCACCCAATTGAAGTACATTTCAGTGATAAATGTAAAAAATAAATAATGATAGGATTTTATTAAGTTGTCAGAATGTAACAATGGAAAGGTTTGGCCTGAATTCCTTGACATTTAATCTTGGGATTGGGCCCTAAATGTTTTAATGTCCACAAATAATCAGTCCTTTGATTTATTTTGTAGAGGAAATAATAACGCTAAGTGACATCAATGGATGGGTTGACATTGCCATCCCAATGCCACATTGAAGATAACGCCAGTTTATGGCTTGAACCTACTGTTAGTTTGCTTGAGTGGTGTATAAGCAAGATCACAAAAGGGAGAATCCTATTTCCTTCATTTACCTCGTTTTCTACCATACAGAGATTTTCCTCAAACATCTCTCCTTTGATAAGCTGTATACCAATGCACTGTATTGCACCTGATGAATTCAGAATTTCAGAAGGTATAATCGTGGTTTCACTGTAAAGAGTAACTTTTAGGTAATGCACGGGAGTGTTTATTGTGTGCTTTGCAAATCAGGATTTTTTAAATTTTGTTGCTTAGCTTTGAGGAGCTTTGTGCACGCATCTAGGTATAACTTGGCCCTTTAGAAACATGAGGTAGCTTTAAATTCTAGTATAAAAAGAAATCAAACATTGCCAACTTGTTTCCTTGATTGCTATCAGGGTGGGGTGAAAACAGTCAGAGATGAAAACATTTTCTTTTTGTGCCTTGTTCTGGGAAAGATTATTTGAGACTGTGACTTAAATTGGACAGTTCCAAACTTTAGCTTACTTTTCGGAGCTTGGGAGTAGAATAATATACAGGACAAACCCTTGTGAAGTATGAAGATTTATAATGTCAATGGCAGAGATTACTTTTTAATGCATACTAGAAGAGTATATGTCCTGAAAAAAAAAGCCTGTTGGGTTACTATCTACCTAAATCAGTCCTCGTCTTTTCCACATCACGGTGCCTATCATAGTCTCACAGAAAAACGAAGGAATGCTTGTATGACTCTCTTTGAATCAATTATAAATCATTTAAATGAACAAACCTTTAATGCAATAAAGGTGATTTTAGGTGGGCCTCAGCCGTATAGTTACAACTGCACGTAATATTTGGCATTTATTTGTGGCCTCAGAAGCGTGGTACCACTCCTGTGGTGTATACTGCTCCTGATCAAAAACATTTAGCCAGAGTGGAAGGAGGGGGGGGAAGACAAGTTAGGCAGAAACAGATCAGCTGTTCGGAGGTGTGATATCTGTAGATGAGAGCCAAGGTAGGAAAGGGGGTTAGCTATTGAAATAGCCAAGTTAAACAAGAGACACTTAAGGCTAAGGAGCCTCCCAAAGGATTGATAAACTTTCACATGGGGAGTGTATGCGGTTGAGCCATTAGCCCCAAATGGTGTCTTGTTTAACTTGGCTTTTAAAATAACTAGCCCCTGTCTAACTTGGACTTCCCTGATGGTATCCCACCTTTACGGGGCTGACCCTCTTTATAACTTGGCTTTTTGTATTTGTAAAATGGTTTTGATCAGATAGCACTCTCTCTTTTTTTTGTTTCAGAAGAGAATTAAGCTTGGTTTAGAAAAGAATTAAGTTGCAAGAGAGAATATATTAGAGTTGCATTGAGAGACAAGCTGATTTTAATAAAACACAATTGTAGAATGAAGAAAAAGGAACACAGCCAGAACAGGATTTTAACCCACAGCTTGCCCTCCCACAAGTAGATTTTGTTGCCATGAGGCTATGTGGAGAATAGCTGGCTCTATTTTTTGCATAACTGAACGAGCCCATCTAGTCCCTTAAAATGAATATAAATACAGAAAATGACAAAAAGAAAACTGATATTGCACAAGGGCTAAAAAGCTTGAATCTGAATGTGTACTCATGTCTGCACGCTGACACAACTGCAAGAAAATCAGACAATGTAAATAACATATGGTTTGTTTTTCCAACAAAAGGAAAGAAGGAAGACAAGGGGGTTTAATAAGTTTGGCAAGTTGTCCCTTCTAAACTATCACACTCTAAAAGGGACATTTTGTGTATCATTCCAGTTCTACAGATGCACTGAGAGCCAAATCCTTCTCTTACTGAAGTCAATGGGAGTTTTGCCATCGACTTCACTGAGACTAAGATTTGGCCTCAAAAGAATTAATTCTAACAGTTGGAGTTGTCAGGGCAGTAACAGATTTCTCATACAAGTTTTGTCCTGTGTGGATAGCGAAAGGCTCGTTTTTTAGCTTGGCTAAAGATGCTGTTGTGACTCTGAATGCCTGGGGTGTGGATGTGTGAGTGTGTCTGTAGGGAGAAGCTTTTGCAGAGTTATGTACATTTTGATGAAGGGCAGGGACGGTATTTTACTCTGCGTTGGTACGACGCTGGGCGCAAGGGGACTGGAGCCTGACGGAGGGCTCTGAGCACTCCTGTGCTATAAACAATTGTTCATAATAGCATTATAGAGCTCGTAAACAGTGTTCTGTTTCTATGATAGATACAGTAAATGGGTAACATGTTGTTCTCATGTAGCAACATATGCTTTACATAATTTAGTAATGCAGTACTTTATATAAGCTTTTAGAATAAAAACAGGAAGGCACGTTATTCCACACTGCTCCCCAGCTCGTACCCAAGCATTTCTGTATTTGACAGGAAAACACAGCATGTAGTGACACAGCCAACTATTTTGCTTTTTCTGTAGAGCAGCATCTTTTAAAGTTGTGTTAAAATGTCTGTAGAGAACAAATAAGTACTGTCTGTTGTGTACAACCTTCTGTCCTTTGGTGTATTCTTATCTGTAAGTTAAGCGGAGGTCCATTCAAAATCATCTTTATGAACCAAAAGTATATGAAATTGGTGGAAAGCAAAGGAATTTTTTTAAACATTTTAACTTTCTAGCATAGATCTGTATTACATGAAGTGGATTTTTTTATACAAACTATCCTCTTCGAACTATTTGATTTTGGTTGGAAAAAAATGTGTTACTTCAGTGTTTCTACCACAATAGAAAGTGAAAAGTGTATTGCAGCAAACTGAGGAGGAAAAACCACAAAATCCCAGTCAAAAGTATATGAAGTTTAGAATAATGCAGTGGAGTGTGAATGAACGATAGGAGGCCATTGCAAGGTGTGGGGGGAAAAAACAGCAGGATTTTTCCTATATTGTATCAGACAGCAAAGTAAACCTGCTTGCTTTATTTAGACGGAATCATACTGTAAGTTCAATTTATTTTCTTCAACTTGGTAGGTAAAACCGCTGTGAGAGGGAAGGCCAAGGGGAGACTCACGTTAATACACTTCTCGTTTTTTTCCAGGAGAGTACACAACTGCTACAAATGCCGTCAGTGCAGCTTCACAGCTGTTGACACTCAGTCACTACTAGAGCACTTCAACACTGTGCACTGCCAGGAGATGGACGTCACTACAGCCAATGGGGAGGACAGTCATGGCGTTTCGTCTATCAAGGAGGAGCCAAAAATTGACCTCAAGGTCTACAGTCTGATTAATCCGGACCCCAAAATGGGGGAGCCCATATCTGACAGCATAGTGAAGAGGGAAAAGATAGAAGATAAGGAAGTGCTCAAGGAGAAAGGTTGGACTGACAGTCCCAGTGATGATCTTCGCAACGTGACCTGGAGAGGAACAGACATTTTGAGGGGGAGCCCATCATACACACAGACGAGTCTAGGCTTATTGACCCCAGTGTCCGTTAGCCAAGAGCAGCCAAAGCCTTTAAGGGATAGTCCAAACGTAGAAGCTGCCCATCTTGCGCGGCCTGTTTACGGCTTGGCGGTGGAGAGCAAGGGCTTCCTGCAGGGCGTGCCAGCCGGAGCGGCGGAGAAAGCCGGGCAGCTCACCCAGCCCTACCCTGGATCCGGAGACAGCAAGACAAAGGACGAATCCCAGTCCTTATTACGGGTAGGAAGCTCTCTTTTTTTTCCTTGCTTTTTATGATTACATGTATGTTATGTTTAATTAGGCATGCAAATGATTTCTTCAGTTCCAGACTAATGTGGTTGGGTTTTTTTTCATGCATGGAAAAAAAAATCAAGGAAAGACTGAAAGACTCAAACTTGTAGCACTAAACTGGCAGGTAAATGTTCCAACGTGTTTGCATAAAACAATGTATATATTGATGTAGTATTAGTAAGCAAGTGCTTCTGCTTTTGCTGTTTAGCTCTGATTGAATTTTGGAGGGAAGGTTTAGAACCCCAGAAGGCTGCACATCTGTTACACTAAAACAACTAATCACCTCTTAAATTTTGTGCTGGTGTGACAGTTCACACTTAAGCAAGATTTCACATTATTAAATATCTAAGAGTATGAAACCTGAGTTAAATATTAATAAAAAGTAACCTCTTTTTTTTGTAAAGCAACATAATTATATATCAATTTTGACACTTGTCTGGTTGCCTTGGAAGCAAAAGAAAAAGAAAAAAAGAAAAAAGGAAGGAGCTTGGGTGATAAGAAAAGGAGAATATTTATCACACCAAATAATTCCTATTCTGTCTTTTTTTTAAACAAAAGGACCTATATATAAGGGACTTCCCCTTCCATCTCGGTATGCTTTTCCCAGTGTAGAGAAATCTGAGGTTAGAAAAGCTCTCAAATTCTGAGGAGCTGAGCAGGGAGGCAAAGAAGTGCCTTTCTCCTGGAGTCACCACTGTATGTTTTCAGGGGCTGCTTCCTATCTGAACTTCTAGAAACTTGATACAGGAGCGGTCAGTCCACAGGCAAACCTCACTAGAATGGAAGAGATGATCAGCTATTTTTCTTTATTGTCCTTTATAAGAACATTTATAACCATAACATCCATTACTGTAAGAGTGAACAACATGTCAAAAGAAGACAAAAGGCAAGATAAATGTTTTATTCCATGGTCTGCTAAGATTATACATAGGTATATCCGTCTCTGTATACATAAGTCTTACAAGCTCTTTTAAAATGAAGTCAGTGGTCTTAAAAATATTGCAGTTATTCTAATTATTAAATAATGTGTCACTTAAAGCGTCCATGCAATTTAGGGGGACCACAGCCTTTTGTACCTTACAGGTCATGAATAGTTATTGTTGTCAGATTTCAAGTGTATGAGAAGTAGTTATGGTATGACAGGTTCCCTATTGCAAACCTGGGTGTGTGCTCACTGTGAATGACAGGATTATATTTCTCTCCTCCATTTGGAAATATGTGTAAAAATATATACATATATCCAACTAGCAGTGGAATTCATGCTGTACATACGATGCTAGTTACATGCCACTTCGATTCTTGTAGTGGTTCTCAGCAGTGCGCAGACATGTTGGCCAGAGGAGCCATTTATATTGTGGGTTATCAGAATACAAATAATTTTCGTTTATTTTTTGACTACTAAAGAACAAAAAAAAGCAACTAAACAAAGGTCTGCAAAGGGACGTGGTAGTATGCAGAATCAGCTCTATAAAGGTCTAAATTTGGTTGGTGGCTGGAGCCTAAGATCTTAGTGAGCAGTAAAATAAGGCGATTATATTATCTGTTTTAGCCATTGGTGAATATAGAAGGGGAAACTGTACACTGGCTGCTTCTTATGCCCTTTTTTAAAATAAGTTCAGACACTTCTTTAAAATCTTTATACAAAAGCACTAATATATATATTTTTTTTTCAAATCAGCATTTTTTCACTTTGGAAACATTTTGATCACTTCTGGATATTCAGGAATATGAAGTACCTGTAATTTCCATGGTTTTCTGGGGGAAAAAAAAAAAAAAAGGTCTTTTTTTGGTGTATTAACACCGTATATAAATTAGTTCCTTGCATTTTATAATGTGTACAACCCAATTTTTCTCTTAGAAGGTTTGTAAAAGGATTTATTAGTGGATTAGGTCTATACTGACTGGTGAAACCGTACCGACACCCTTCAAAGAGGAATTACTTTTGTGTACACCTTTAGCTACCTTGTTCTTTGAACTCTGTTGTGCCAAGGACTTGTTTGTCTGGGTCTTTTCCGTAGTTTTAATACTTAAATTTTCACTTTTCTTCTTTGAAAATTGGGCAAGTTGCCTTTGTCAGTTTGAAATATTTAAAAAAAAGGGAAGGAGGTTAAGTTTCTACGTCTGCTGAACAGAATCTCTAATCATATATATTTCATCACTCTTGATGGATAGAGGAAAATAGTGGGAATTCAAACTTCTTGAAGGTAAGGGGTGATCTGAAGGATAGGAGATGGTGGAAGATGAAGGGATGTGATTCTGTGAGTGATATTAATTCCCTATTCTCCTAGATCTGTGAAAAAGATCATAGAAACCTAACTCCTTTGTTTTGCTCTTGATTTAGTTTTCTGTAGACAGAGTTATGGGATGCAGTACTGAAGCCAGGAAATAAGAAGACAAAGTGGTGGTCAGCTTGACCAGTGGGAGCTCAGTGTCGGGTATTACCTGACAGACATATATGTTATGTGTATGCCTGGAAGCTCTCTTGGCCCAGACAGAATTAGAAATTGTTCAGAAAAGAGCTTCCCTTCCATTCTGGAAAAAGCTCATTTTTGTAATCGTCTGAATTAAAAAAACACTCCGTATTGTTCAGCAATTCTCTCATGATTATCCACTTTTGGAGAAATTTATTTTTCTAATGTGAAATAGCTAGTAGAAATAGCGAATGTTGTGCTAAAAGCTGGGCTTTTCTAACAGCGAAGAGTTAAATCAATACATACTTCTGGTATCATATAATGAATGCTCGTGCAAAATACTGTATCCTGGGACAACTGGTGACTAGGAAACAAAACCTATAGTAAAATCACTGTGGACACCTTCATTTTTTTTCCCCCCAAAGAGTGACACAGAGGAAGCCAAAAATTAGGGATTACTCAGTGAATAAACACTGTGAGAAATGGACTGAAAAAAAATCTAACATATCCCTTTGGTTGTACTGGCTATTCAGTATTTATGAAGTGGTTCTGCTTATTACAAATGATTTGTAATGATTTGACAGTAGCAGTAATACCATGTGCTTTTCATTTTTTAGTTTTCTCATGACTGGGGGAAGGGAAAGGGGAGATCAAGTTTTTCACCTTTTTCATATAGATGGAGGTTAATACTGCAAGTGTTTTTTCTAGGTACTGAGTTTAGGAGTGATTAGCATTTTAATAAAATATCAAAGACGATACAGATCAGCTGGGGAGGGGGTGAAAATCTACAGTTGCCCACAGAAATCCCTAATGCCTACAGGATAATCGTAAACTTTTAGAAATTACTTGGAGTGTTTTTCAGCTTTGTGTGTTGTGTAAGCCGTTTATATGCTGCTTTCTTGCATTCCTTCCATGCATGATGGACATGTTCCCTTCCCAGTCTCTGTGCTACAGTAGATTATTCGTGGGAGCCATTAGGGTAGGATTTCTTTCCTTTTAGCAGCTAAAAGACCTAATCGCTTGTGACTTTTCGGGAGCTGGGGATGGTGCAGTGGTGATAGCCTGAACTCTACATGTGTGCAAACACACATATGCAGTGGACGCACCTTTTTCCCCGAGCGCGCTTCCAAGCTGTGTGTATGTAACAGAATCTTTCTCAGGGGCATGGTACACTTCTGTGAGTAGCTTTAATTTATTTTTCTTATTAACATGTTTCCAGCAGCTGTACTTACAGGGAATCGGTATGTTTTGCAAATGGGAATTACAAAAAATGTACCTCAGCATGGTACAATGTAGACATTATTTCTGCTCTTCCTTAGAGTAGCTGATTTTATAGTTTAAAGATTTGTTGATACTGGAAGGTCTATTGAGATGCAAAAATGTTCCTTTTTTTGGGTAGCACATTGGCAGCCAGCAGACTCCAGGCAGATTGTTTAATGCTTTGACAATGCAGATCTTGGACAGCAGGAACTTTTTGCTAAACTGATTTTAAATGAAGTGTCCCATTTTGGTATGTGTGGACACTGCAGAACAAAGTTTTCCACAAAATTGGGAATTGCAGCCTGAGCTTTCAGACCTATACACAGACCTAGTTAGCCCACCTAAAGGTATTGGTAAACACTGCTGCCTCACATCATCGTTTAGCTGGTGCAGATACAGAGTAGCACAGATCAGTGTGTCCCGCGGTGTCACGTAGACAGGAAAGCAACAGAAAGATGCCTCTGTATTAATCATAGTTCATGTAATGGGGGGATTTGTGTACCATCAGATGGAGATAGGTTGTGAAATTATGGCAAAGGTACTGGGGATTTTTATCAAAGGCAGACTGCAGGCCGTAATGTTAAATATCTAACTGAAGTTACGTTAACCTTTGCTATGAGCTTTTTATATGGGGCAAAGGATAAAATCAGCTCTTCTATTAAATCGAGATTATTTTGCACCATAATGATCAGACTGTTTACACACTACAGGAAATCATGGCATTTCAAGAAAGTTCCCATTTACTTTAAGAAGAGTTATTTTCTTTTTGTCTCTGATATTTACACTTCTGATATTTCATATAGAGTTCTGTCTAGAGCTGGTTATATGGCTTTAAATTTGGGGGAGACAGGAAATCAGAAAAAGTTATTTCCCCTCTCCCTGTTTTGCATTCTCCTACGTGGCTGATTGACAGAGCTCGTTTTAAAATTAGCAATAGGTATATATGTATCAGTAAATTTACACACATTTGATTTAATATCAGTGTAGTAAATATCGGACACAATCCCTAGCGGTGAAACATTATTTCTTCTCTTATAAAGTACTGACTCCTGTTATCCACAGAGTTAGATGCCAGATAGCTGCAAAGCCATGGAAATGCTGAACTAGCCTTTGTGATTTCCAAAAGACTTCTCTAAACATTCAGTTCTTGGCCTGAAGGATAACATACCTTTGAGGTAAAACCTGCCTCTCTGATGTTGGTAAAAGTATTGCTGCTGCCTTTAGCAGGAGCACAAGGAGCAGCACTGGAAGGTTCAAGCACAGAGAGTGGGATCTTGG